AACCATTCTTCTCCATATTAAAACTGAAGCCTACTCCATGAAAAACATCACCACTAAAGAACCCAAGACAAGCTTTGCCATTAAGCTTATGCATGTGCTGTTTAAACACAGTGGCAAGGGATCAACAGTATACCTGTGAGACTAAACACATTATACCATCTTGTTGATCAGGTCTCTAAGTCTGGTAAGTCAGGTATTAGAAGTGATTCGGTTTAACAGGAGGAATGGTGACCAAACAACGTCACAAACTGCCACTCATTTGTTCTGGGTTTTTTGCAAACACAAGTTGTTCCTTCCAAAGTAAAGTTATTTTACTGTGCATTAAATAAGCAAAAAGTTCTGCAAGAGTAAATTACAGGTAAGGGTTAGTTTAGGAGGGCACCTCTCAATTGTGAGGTACAGAGACCTGGTCAAGACAGAGAGAAACGCAGGTGTCAGTACTTCCAACTCATTTTTGCCATCATTTATTCTCACTGGTTCAAATTTGTGCTACAAATGACTTTATGTACCTGTGCACCAGTGAGAAACAGTTTAGTAGCTGTCACCTCTGAGTTGCCAGTTACCTCTTTCTACGTAGGACCACAAAGAGACTGGGTTTTCCATGTTATCAGGTATGCCAAAAATCAAGATCAAAAGCAAAAACATCTATGCAGCCAACATAGAAAGTCCACTTGTATCACCATGTCATCATAGCTATCCATGTGCAATAGTGAGCCTTTATTCTTCAGTCTAGGGTCCAAATAAGCCAATAACTCTGTTTTCCATACAACAAAATCTTGGAAAAGGAAAATTACTTTGCTTACTGTATTTGGATCAGAATTTACTAGATAATCTTTTTAGTCCCTTCCAGTTCCAGATTTTATATACTACTGAGGCAAAAATAGAACTAAAAAGTGCCAGGCACCATGGGGAAATCTTAAATCCACATAACACCAACTTCATTAATGAACTTTATAAGACAGAAGCAAGCAAACATTTTATTACAGAAAGAATATAAGGAAATGCTTACTAATGCACTGAATAAACTGAAACATTTGAACACAAAACTCACATCTAAGATATTTGCCAGTTTCCACACTCCAAGGGATAGTTTGTGATCTCAGAACAAAGACTAGGACAGAAAGTAAAACCGGAGCTGCCCAAAAGAGGCAGTATGACTTACAGTGATATAGATCCGTTTCTAATATACCAAATATTAACTAGAATTGTGATGACTTCTGATAGTATATTTCTAAGCAGTATTTTCTGAAACAACGGGTATTAATGCTGTATCTCATAATCTATGTTACGTAGAGACACAATGGAGCCTTTTAGATCTTCATTTTTCCTTTATCCTATCAGTAAGTAAATACAGGCATTCAGTTTAACATAACTCTTGCCTTAGAAAAACAGAATAAGAATAAAATTGAGAACATGACAAATATTTGGAATTCCTGGTATTATCTCCGGTATTAAAAAAAAAAAGAGTAAATAAACATTAAGAAGCTATATACAATATTCTGCAAAGCTTGAACCAAAATTTTTTATTCTAGAATGAGTTTTTCTCTAAGAATATTTATCCACAGGGTTTTTTTGCAATCAATTTGTGGAATCATAGGCTATACTTATGACTCACAAAAACTGTAATGCATACTCTAAACTGTTTATTCATAGTCTTAGAATAGGACTCAGTGAATCATTAGTATACCTTTACCACTTCCTACTTTTATAGAAGGCAATCTATGAAGGAACGGTTAGTTACTGAATGTGACCTTGAACTTTTACTATCATTCAACACTTATTTTTTTTAATGGACATCAGTCAAAGTACCAACATGACTGAAAACTACTTATGTGTAGTTTTATATTAGAATTCCTGGGCCACGTAGCGTGCATCTCTCCATCTGGTTCTCCTTCTCCCACAGGGAGTAGACCATACTGGTACATATATGTAGACCAAGGATAATAACTGAAGCATCAAGGGCTTGAAAAAGTATAGAAAAGTGTATAACTTGAAAAAATCCAGGCACATGTATCACAACATACTTAAAAGAAAAACTATGCCAACTGAATGAAAGAAAAATCACTATCGGTTTCACCAAACATCACTCAGCCCCCCATAGACAAAGAGGTCTTGCTTGCAACCACCTAATGACACCCTGCCTCAGGCATGGGCAACGGTTTGATTTTTTTAGCTTAGACAATACTGTGTCCCAGTCAGGATATAGTTTGTCTGGGCTCTACCTTCAGATTGGGCTATCTTTCCAGTCACAGTACGATGAGCCCATGCCACAATGACTAAAGAGCTGGTCTCCTCTTTGGTATGCATGACACCATGTTGGGTGCCTGTGACCCTGCCAGAGGGGCAGCCTGGTAGCTGAGAGGGCAACCTGCAGGTAAAGTTTGTTACAGTGAAGTTTAAAGAGCTGTGTCTGGGGGCATAATATGAGAACACAGAATGAGCTAGGAGACCCACTTGGACCTGCACGTATGATTCAGTTGTCAGGATGGAAGCATGCAAATGACACCAATCATGTCAACACAACTATTTAGAGTATAAGCACTTATTTTACGGTAATTTTATGCATATGGAGCACTTAAAGCAATGGGCCCCTATTTTGCAGAAGGCATTTTCTGGGTTTATCAAAAGAGTAAAAATGATTGCAGATATAATCTTCTTACTGATCAGTTATGAATTGCACACATACTAATTTTTTTATACAATTTCAGAAGTTTTCTATGTTCCATTCAAGAAAATATCTTCTTAAAAAGAGCACCTAAGTGGCACAGATAGCAACAACATCTAAAATTATACGAAATCAATACTGGAGATTTCTAAAGACTTAAGATGCCCTCAAATCAACTTCAATAAGAGTGAGGCCTAAATGTGTGACTAAAATTACATTTTTTAGACTGATTTACTTCCTAGGGATAAATTAAGCTGAAATACGTAGAATGAGGAAAATTCCTTTTCTGTTTCAACGGCTTCTAGTATCTCTAAGTACAATATACTGCTAAAAATCTGTAAAAATTTATGAAGTTACCAGAATTTATTATTATACCTCTATAATATCTCTATTATTTTTCTTCCTTTTTAAGAGGCTTTGGACAGTAGTTTTAGAAAATCACTGTTTTGTCCTAAGAGAATTTCAGTAAGAGTTATACAGTTTTCCAGTTTCTTTCTTCTCTTGCTTAAATTGGAGATGTAGCCTTTTGCTCTGGCATATACTGATGGTATTTGAGTTCTAAATGTTCTCTCTCTCATCAGAATTGATATTATAGGAGATATGGATGCTGATTATTACATCACACTTTTAATTAGTGATTTTTGGCAAAAAACATGAACAGAAGTAATAATCAATCAAAGCAGCCAAGCATTTGTTTAGTAGGATACCTTATCAGAGTAACTGGCAGTTATGACCAGACTTTTTTCTAGCATGCATGACGTGAAATAGGCATGGTCATGTCCCCTTGGATAGAGGCCTTGGAAAACATATCTACAGGTTTTGTACGAAAATCATTCTGCTGATGTTGGCTGCTCATTTCAAAACTAACAATTATTAATCACTGGAAGTTCACCTATTGTAGCACACCTCATCAGTGTAAATTAGCTATAAGTCCACCAAACACACAGAACACTTACAATCTGTGCAGCCCACAGAACACAGCTGAGGGGCAGAATGGTGTTGAATGCATCCACCTAGTATAGTATTTTTTCTTGACAGTATTTCTGGGCTGGAGTATTTTTCACATGTATTGTGAAAGGGCTGCTGATGGCGTATTTTCAAAGCTAGGTCATGCTTCTATGAGATGAAAAGTGATTGGTCACACTTTTCTGTCTTTGCTGTAAACTGACTTCTTTCTTCTGTTGGATATTTTTTAGCTACTGTACTATTCCAACTGATGCTTATAAATACCCGTCTATGAATGAATAATAATAAAACATAGTTGAAGTGACAGCAGACTAGAGAAATGGCTCTCTATAAATAAATTGCACAATATGCGAGTTCAAAATCTATCATAAAAAAGACTTAGAATTAATGCTTTTAGTCTATGACTGAAAAATAGTTATTAAGCTGTCTATTATTAAAACATTACAATTCTTAATATCTGCCAAGCTAAAAAAAATGTTTCAGATATTTGTGATAGTTCTTTCTCTGTGATGGGCCACTTCTAGAGAGTGTCACAAATCCTAGTTCTGTTGCAGAATAAATACCAAGCTTACTAGTATTTATCTCACTGACTAACAATTAAAGACAGTGAAGGCAGAAATACCTTCTTTCAGACTATTACCCATAGCATAGATATTTATGTCTCTCCTTGACTCTCATTCCAATTACTCTTTGTTTTTTATTCTTTGCCATTTTATTATCTTTGTCATGCTTACTTTGAACTCTTTCCTTCTCTTTCCAGATTTCCTGTGTTAGAAAATCTGTTCATGGTCAGTCAAACAATAATGTCTAAACACAAAATTATATTAACTTATATCAATATATCTGCACTAATTCCCTCTTATTCCAGAGGAGTAAGAGCCTACTGGCTTCTTCATCAGCCTATTGAACCTGTAACATTCTACACTTAAGCACAATTAGAATTCTATATACCATCTATTTATAAATAAAAACCTAACCTTACCGTTGCAGCTTGAAATAGCTCTACCTTCTTCATTCCAAGAATCAGAACTAATCCTGTTGTAGTGAACTTTAATTGGTTTTCAGCATTTCAGTTACCTGAGTCACCCCTACCCCAGCCTTAATACTTCACCTTTCAAACTTACTTTCTCTAACAAACACTTTTTCCAAATGGCATATTACACCCATTTTTATCTTTTACACCACATTAATCTTTTCTCTGCTATTTATCTGTGAAGTGGTTTTAAAATGTTATATAATTCTACAATATTTCCATGTCTGAACACATAATTCTTCACAATGGTTATCCACATAGATATACAAAGATATAATACTAATACAATTGTATAATTCAATATATTAAAATTAGCAATTACCATGTAAAACTTACCTGAACGTTTGCTCTTGCTTTACTTGCCTGGCTTGATATACTTGCTCTGGCCGCATTAAGTAGCTTCTGGATTCCAGCAAAATGACCCTGGAGTATGACAGGTACACATAATCACCACATTTTTAACTTGTTGAATGAAGACAAAATTCAGTTTATTCTAACTTTTAAATGAAGACTTGGTAAAGAAGCTTATTATTTTCAATCAAGGATACTTTAAAAGAACTCTAAAAAAAAGATTTCAACACATTTTTAAAATCTATTTATTAAATAATTCATTCATTCTTCTTTCTTTAATAGCTTAAATTGCATAATTTAAGCCATGCAATTTTTAAAGCTCATGTAAGTATGCAAAATCCTGAGACACTCATTGAAGGGTTATTGGGAAATATCATAAACTACCACCTCAGCAACACCATAGGTTGATTTGTAATCATAGGCATGGTCTACAGCTATGTCATGACACGCAGACCAATTTTCAATTTTCTTTTCAAAAAATAAAAAAAAATAGTGAAAATCAGAAAACCAATGCCCATTTTAATATTAAGACCAATTGTATATATAAGTTATTTGGGAATAATTTTCTGTAATGTAATTTATACTATGATCTGTATTAAATCAAATGATTAAATAATTGAGTCATTTACATTCAAAGAAAAAAGTTGAGATAATTTTATTTTGCTTTTGTAAATAATGAATCAATTAAGATAGAGTAAATTGTGATTTCCCTGACAAACCAGAAGGAACTGCTTCACTTTAGTTTTTCCTGAAAGATTCTGACCTTTTTTTCTTTTTATGTGCATTATATTGTGCACATGTTATACATCCTTTGCCCTACTGCTAGTCTTTAATCAAGAATTAGTTTTATGTATCATTGTAAAATTTGTGTAACATGGCACCAGCACTCATAATTCATTCATTATAAACCAGACTTCTGCATTTTCTCTGCCCTCACAGGCAGTAAAAACGTAAAGAAGATTACAGAGTACATAGTTAAAATACAGAAGCCAGAGTCACCTAGGTTAGCGCTAGCATGGATCTGAATTCAGAATTTTCAATGGAATTATAAACGTTTCCATCAGCATTAGCTGATTCTTTGCCCAAGCATTTAATCAGCTGTAATATTTCACAAAGAAATGTAATGGATGATTTTAAAAGTATTAAACTATTTTTTTCTTAATGAAGTACAAGCATTCAGTAATCTTTAAAATATCTATTTATTAAGTATTAAAAGCTAGGAACTGTAAAAACAGAAAACATTATTTATTGATAAAATGGGTAATATCTAACAAACAGACAAATGTTAGTCAAGGACTAGTTTAGGATGCAGAATTTACAGCTTTTGGAACTATCTTATATTTGCTACATATTTGACACAAGTTCAGAGAGGCATTCATATTCTTAATTTGACCTTTTCTTAGATCGTACCACATTATACACCTACTTTTAAGATTTTTAGCCCAGTTTTCTGTAAAAAAGCTACCTCCTTAGTATCACAAGCTCATTTCCTAGTTTTATCTGCAACTAAATAATGCACCCTCTGTTGGAACACTACATGGTTCAAAATACTTGAAACATGATAGAAATTATCTTTTATTTTAGATTACTAGTTCAAATGTTGCCCGAATTGATAATTACTTGAAGTGGTTGTCAAGTAACTTTTGAGTGATATATATAAAAGCTTAAATTACATTGCCTTTAATCTATTCTTTCCAAGAGAGCTATCCACAGAACTGATTACAGGCAGTCTCACTGACCACTTTGAGAACTTTAAAAAGAAGACAGAAGTTAAGAAAATTCATATGATTCCCACATAGGAGGCTTGTGCCAGAACACATTGCTGGAGCAGTGAAAACAATCCTGTTCCAGGTGTCTATAGCAAATCTATTCTGTGGATGAAAGAGAAATTTAATTTGCAGCCTATGCAATGTGTATATTATACAGCTTAATAAAACAAGCTAAAAATGTTATGGAAAATGGCTCTTGTAAACAAAAGAATGGCATGAACTAATTGTTGGCTGTATAGACTAACTACAAAATGTGGAAACAGATCACATAAACAGATTTTAAAGGGGCACAGCAGCATTTATAACTCTGTATTAAGGAAAGCAGCATTTATAACTCAACAGTTGTTACATCTATGATGAATACAAATGAAAAATTAGATTAATTGATAGTGATGTTCATCCCCAAGGCAAAAGCATGGGTTTTAAGTTTTCCATGCTTAATAATTTAAACAGCAGGGTAAAGCAGATTGGGGAAAAAGTAACCAATTATTAATTAACATGGTTTGTTTCTCTTTGGAATTCTGCTGGATCTCAGCCAAATACAAAAATACAAGCAAAGTTCATGAACTCCATTTGATTAAAATTCCAGCTTTATTGCTTACACTGAGATAGATTTCAATTAAGATTTATTTATCTTCTTTATTCATTATGATAGCTTCCACTCCATAGTGTTTGTACCAATTCTGATAATGTAGATCCCTATAATTTAACCTCAAGGTTTTACATTTTTAAGGAGAAGAAGAAAATTATGGAAAATAGTTGATAAAACAGCATGGTCATTACAGATTTGTCTTTAAAGCATTGTCTACCTGAAGATGCCATCATTTCTGAAAGGATTAGTAACATTTAGGATAACTTTCTTCAGCTCATAACATGGCGATTTGCATTTTAATGTATCCTGAAAAGGAGTGAAAAATTATATCAATATAAAAAGTTGCATTCGTGTATAACACATAAACAAGAAGGAAAATGCTACAAAGAAAACAGAACCATGTATTTGACCACTGGTGATGACAAAATTAACACAATTTAAATGATAGGCTTCATTGTCAGCAAAGAACATTTAAAGGCTATTTCTTTTAAAACACACATTAAACTGAATGCTCTTCAAAATGATATCACAGGGCCAAGAATCAAGCTATCTTTTTGCCTTCTTATCTATGTCCTCTATTTTCTTCTCTTGCCCCACCTTCCTTTCTAACATCTATAAAGAGGTTCATGAAAAAAAAGGAGAATCACATAAACACCATTTAAGCTCAGAAGAGGAGCTATCCAGATCTGTTCAATGAGTGTTTGATAACAAATGCTAGAACACATGCCTATCTCTGCTCTGACTAATTCTGGGATATATCTTAAATCTAAACACTGTCTAAAGTTAAAAAGCACAAATAAACATAGCAACATCTAACAAAAGTCTGCTGTCCATCCATATGTGACAACTGAAATCACCTCCACAATGGAATTTCCAAAAGCATTCATATGCTGAAAGGGCTCCAGATTTATTTTCAGAGCAATCAGTGAAAAAAAAAAACAAACACCTTACTCTGAATCTAAGTGGGATTTATATCCTCAGGCATCTTAGATACTAGAATCATAGAATCGTCTAGGTTAGAAGGGACCGTAAAGATCATCTAGTCCAGCCACCAACCTAACTCTGACAAAAAAAATAAATAAGAAATAAAAATCACTAAATCATATTCCTGAGGAGCATATCAACCTGTCTTTTGAACACCTCCAGGGATGGTGCCTCAACCACTTCCCTGGGCAGCCTATCCATCTAGGCTTTTCTCTGCGTGCACACTGGCTAATATCAGAAACCTGAAAATTCATAGGTCAAAGTTACTGATGAAAACTCACATTTTTATTGTTATCTCAGTTCATTTCTTTTTGATACAATAAACAGATGAACAACAATTTTGTCACAATATAATCATACACACATAAACTTACAGCAGGCTCAATATGGTTGACTTCAGATTTCAGAAAGAATGTCAGTGTGGCACCATCTATTCCACCCACATTCTTTGAGATCAGTAGCAACACTGCTTCAGCAGGGTGCAGAAAACGACTAGTGAATTCCACATTTATGCTTGTTTGTCTCCTAGGCAAAACAATAACAACAAAATAATAATAGTTTAAATAGGTACAAAATTGTGAATCAGGAGCATATTAGAGTCTTTGTAAGGGAAGGTGGCTAGAAAAGAAAGTAATTTATTTCTTCTGAAATACTATGTTGTTGTTCAATCTTTTACCTAAGAGCTCCAAAAATGTTCTAATAAAAAAACCTATATAAATAGAAAAAGAACAATAGTCCTTCTTGCTTTTTATGGTTAAGCATGTAGCTTAATTTTTCTTCCCACACACAGTAGCAGAGGAAGTTCACTTAAATTATAGTATTACCCTAAGTTAACAACTGATTTATTTTATGCTCCCCTATTTGAATAGGTTTTTATGAATTAAAGTCAGACATCCTGTTATTCACATTGTGAAGCAGATATAGAACTTCTTAATCAATAGGATAATAAGAATAATTATTAAAGCTGAGTAATTAAGAGGTGGAAAAAACAAAGTTCTGTCATACAAGCAACAGCTGAAGTCTCTGAAGACTGGAGAAGGGAAGACCACATGGAATGAGATCTTAGACTGAGTAAAAGTTCAGACTTGATTTGCATTAGTCCTGCAACTAAGCAATATTGGTAAGAAAACTTTAGTGGCTGAAGCTCATGCTTTGAAGCTCTCTGATTCTGATTCTCTGATTCTGAGATTAATGTCTTAAAATTACATTAAGGTCAGCAAAATCATAGTGTGTAGGATTGTTCTAAAAGCAAGAGAACTGTAGAATGTAAAAGTATTATGCCTTTATACACATAAGACCAGAGCAGAGAGAGCTTTTACTAAGCAGTAAAAGACCTATATTTTTGGAGTTGCAAGTGGAATATCTGAAAATGCATACCAAAAAGTCAGCTGGCTGGTTTATACTTTCATTGTAATGTCACTCTATGTACTGAAAGAAATTTTAAAATTTAACCCCCAACAAACTGTATGACAGAAATGGCAGAAATAAAATAACCTATAGTAAAATCTTGACATTTCTTAATTTACTCCAGCTGATATTACTTAAGCTGATAACACTTCAAAGAAATTCTTAAAATATAGGAAAAGGATATATTTATAAATTGCAGATTTGTTAGTTGTCTTTCTGGAAGAGAGCAGATACTAAAGTCAAAAGGCTTTCTGCCCAACTCAAATCATCCTCCCTCATTAAACAATTAATAGGTGCTCTGCAGCCTGAAAGAAAAGAACTAAACAGAGCATCATGCCTATAAATACTTGAAGGGTCGGTGTCAAGAGGATGGGACCAGTCTTTTTTCAGTGGTCTTTTTTCAGGGATAGGACAAGAGGTAACAGGCACAACTTGGACATAAGGAGCTCCATCTAAAGCTGAGGAGGAACTTCTTCGAGGGTGGCAGAGCACTGGCACTGAATGCCCAGAGAGGTGGTGGAGTCTCAGTCTAGGTGGATCTGCTTTGGCAGGGGGATTGGACTAGATGATCTTCAGAGGTCCCTTCCAACCCCATATCATTCTGTGATTCTGTGGTACATGGATGTAAAGAGACGCACACATGGAAAGTAGTTCTGTGTTTACATAAAATTATGGCCTTTAAGCCATTATAACTCACCATTCAGAACTTGGGATTTGTGACAGATAATTTCATGAAAACATCAGCACAGTGCTGGGAAACACCCAATAAAACAAATGAAGTGTTAGGAATAATTAGAAAACAGACACCACCGCAGTTCACCACTAGGCTACAAGATCCCATCTGAAGGGCTAAAACCTTAATTACTGTTTGCACTTCTTTACCTCAAAAAAGATATAATAGAATTGAAAAAAGTTCACCAAACTGCAGAAAGGATGAGTATAGCTAATAGAATTAATCCAGCATGATCTCTAGGCTTAATACCTAGGATAAAGGGGTATGATATTGCCCAGAGTTTTTCCTAAAGCCATAAGTCTCAGGCTCTCAGTTCTGAGAATGAATTATGAATTCCTGGAAGTTCTGAAAACCTGGATCTCACAGCTTTCATGTTCCTGCTGCATAACCCCCAGGCAACACCATTTTTGACAGCGAAGAGTTGCTAAGCCCCAAGAGTCTGAGGCCCCTAAGTTGCCCTGCCATTCAAAACATCCTGGAAAATGTATCCTGGGACTGCAGACTCTCAGAGAAGCATACACCCTGAGACATCCACTCCCAAAGACACTTTTAGAATCAAGTTTTAAGAAGTGTATTCTGCTCTTGTCACAAATAGGAATGACAGGGAAATAGAGTGTATGGAACATTCTGACTGATCTTTACCCTCTGGCCCATGAAATAGCAGAGCAATCTGATTTGAATTGTGAACCGTTGCCTTCTGCAGCAAAGCCAGCATCAAAAAAACGACAAAGTTGCTTAGGTTTTTTTCTCTATTCATCCCAAATACAAAGTGAAGGAAAATTCAGCTCCTGGAATTGTATAATCTTGTTCACTTTCCTATTATTATAACTAACTCCATCCACACCCACTACAATTGATATACTGTAGAGCTCAAAGATTCTTCATTTCTTTACCAGCTCAGCATGTACCATCTTTCAAAAAAAGAAAGAAATCAAATTCTTTCTCTTTTTTTTTTATTTGTTATAGTTTGGTGAAGAAAAGAAAGTCAAGAATTTGTTTGGCAGGATCAAATTGCAGAGAGGCCAACAGAGATCATTAGATAACAGAATCCAAAGTAGTCATATATTACAAGCAATCCAATCATCCTTCAATTGCTTCTGATAACTACTGTTTGGCAGAAGCATTTTTCTGAGAAAGTACCGCATGTTATCTGAGGCAGAAGGTTGGATTAAGTAACTTTCTGGGGTTACTCCCTGTATTATTTTCAGTGTCTTGTGATTTGCAAAACCGCTACAGTTGAAGAATTTGTCATTCAGATAGAGTTTCTTCCCCTCAATATCTAATCACCTTTGCTACTTCCAGGCTGAATTTTTACAACTCCAGCTTCAAACTGTTGTTCTCCTAAAAATTTTTTTTCTATATTGTTTGCAGTTATACAAGTCCTTTTTCTCAGAAGGTACTTTTAAATATTGATCAATTCATCTTCATGATTTCTCTTGTTAAGATACCCAGACTGAGTAACTTATAGGCATGTCTATAAGTTATGTCACATAAGAGAACGTAGAGACCTTTATTCTATTGCTGTTGTGAAATGCAAGTCTATATGGCACAGTGCAGTGTCTGGGTGGGTGTCTGGGCAGCCAGCCAAGTTTAACCCACCACAGCCATTTATTAATGTCTTCAGCTAGTAGCAGACCACAGTATACATTGTTATGCTTCTTTGAAAATACAGACAGATATATATTACATATTTCTGTCACTTCATCATTTGAAAATAGCTGGCATCTCTATGAAATGCTGCATCCCTGCTTCCTAATAGATTTAAGTAACCTCTCTTCATTACTCTTTGCCTTTCTACTGAAAATTTTCCCTGATTTCTTTAGATTATCAATTTCCCGCAGCTAATCTTTCGTGTAAAGTAAACAACAGCTCCTTCAGACCAGGCCTTCATCTACAGAATCTTCTGCACCACATGTCCAGCAAGTCCAACAGGATTAGTAAGTCACACTTAGTCATTATTAGTGGTTATAATGACCCACAGTCATCTTAAATCCAATTATACTTAATTCTAAATATAGGAATATATATATTTGGCAGATAGAGATAAGTCTCTATGCATGACATGCATCTTAAAGTCCTCCAGCTCTCCAATCAGAAGACTGACAAGTTTCCGTTTCTTTAGCTTCCCTATCAAGGCTATTGTTCGTCTTCTCAGCTATAAATCCCTGAAATAACTCTCATAAGTGAAAGTTCTCTAAACTGTTAGTAATTCCCTTGACCTTTTATCCTGAAACTTTGGGAAGCGAACTTTACAACTTGACAGCTGCCCTGCAGCAGGCCTTCACAAGGCAGTAGCTGCTATTTTTGACTGCTTCCAATGTATTAGTTTATCTAAAGTACCTGTTGTTTCAGTGGAAAATAAGCTGTTTAACATCAAGCTAGCTTGTTAGGAAAGAGGCATTAGTGGCAAAGGAAAATCCATATTTATATACAATATTCATAAGTTCATAAGGTACAGTTTCAATTTAGGGGAACAAGGATGCAGAGATATCTGATCATGTCGGAACCATTATAGATACTCAGGTTTTTAATCTGTACCTCTGAAGTAAAGTAAAACTCCTGAACTTTCTCTGATCTAGAAGGCTTTCCTAATTTTTAGTGATTTTTAGCACATTGATTCCTTCAATCCCATTTATGGATTATTTACTTCTAAAAGTAGAAAAAATAACTTTAATGTTAAATGATTCTTTCTAGCTATTTTAGCATCTTATATTCCTAAATGGGTTATAGTTATTGATGCTAACATTCCCATAAAAAAATAACTCCATTAAGTTTTAATAATACACTCACATCAAATTTCTTACTGAATACACTGAAAATTCTCCCTCACTTTTTATTTAGGCCGTACATTTTTTATTTTTTTTTTGTAGAAGTCTTTTACAAGCTCACTTCATTTCTTAGTGTCTCTAGAGATTTCCACTTTTTCCAAAGAAAACAGAACACTCTCTCCTACAAATCCTCTACCATTTTTCTTGATCTTAAGTAACCAAATATAAAGCAGCACTGATGGCAATTAGCCCATCATCAATTAAACAGAGGATTTAGTTTACTATTCACGTTACTATCACTTCCAAACCCACTGATTATACTATCATCTAATATAAAGCATTTACAAGACTCCCACTCATCCCACTGATACTTGGAGTTCTGAAACACTTCAATCAGAACATTAAGAAAGCTGTTAATTACAAAGAACCTATTTTTCATTTAGTGACAAAGATTACAAGTACAGTTACATTATGATAAACTCTGCAGAGGTCACCAACGGATGACTGGCATTTCCACAAGCTTTTATTTCTATGCAGTTTTCAAATGTTTGTTGCTATATATAATGCCAAGCAGCTCAATGGCAAAGTTGTACACATTTATTTGTGTCTTGTTTTTTAGAGTTTTTTTAAAGGTGAAGTGAAAAACAGCCACAGTATTGACCTTTCAGAGAAACACATGATATTTTCAAAGATTACATTTTTATGTTAATTCTTATTTGAAGTAATTGCAAAGAAAATGGAATCAAATCAGCCTCATAGCTCACTGAAAACATAGTGCTTACTTGTTTTTCCTTTTGCACATATTTACAATAGGCATATCATTTAATACTGAAATGTTGATCAACCTTAAAGAGCACTGTTTATGTTGAGTTCTTGAATTTGACAACATATATTTGAAATTTTTCTTCTTCTTCACAGGTTATTTTCATACAAATGTTGACCTTTGTTTTCCATCTTACAACCTCTAATCCATTCTATCTGCAAAGGTATATCTTAAATAGACCTACAGCCTAAACTCTTAAATGACAGTCAGAGTCACTGCTACAACCCTCTTGTCTTTGATAGTTAAACAGGGATTAGTGAAATTCCTGTATCTAGTCATAAAGCCACTTAGCACAGAAATAGCAAAATGTACTTAGTGAACAAAAAGAAAAAGATGGAGACATATCAGGAGTATTTTTGCTACCAAAAACTTTAACAACCTAATGTTTTCCCATAATTAAATGCCTCCCAGATCCTTAGACAACTTTCAGAAACGTGAGATAGATAGAGAAATAACTACATTGCAGCTGCAACAGTTTCCCTTCTGGTGGGGAGGGACAATAGGGGCAAAAAGCAGCAGTCTAATGCTACTATCAAATCTGTGTCATGGTCTCCTAAATTCCCAGTCATGTTTCATTTATGAATAAGAAACAAAACATGAAATCTTAGAAGAAAGAAATTTTACGTGTTCATGCTGCCACAATGCACTGGTATCAAAAATCCGAATCAAGTTTAAAGGAGATTTCAACTTTAGCTGGGAAAAAAAAAAAGTAAAATTTAAGAACAGATCCAAACTTAAAATTAAGGCTTTCAGTACACTGGAACAAAAATATCTATTGGACACAGACGACTCCTTTAATAATCTGAAGACATGTATTTGGCTCTCAAAGCTCTGTCGAGCTAAACTGCATAAATTATATGCTGAAATTATATGCTGATATATATTATATAACTGATAAATTATTTTGGATTTGTTCTAGGTTAAGGGGGAAAAGTCTGATCTTTATACTGACTAATTTTTGGCCTGTTTGTAATTGAACAAATTTCTATTAAATCAGTAGATTTGTATTTCTATACTGTTAGGCTTATTAATAACCCAGAAATGTACAAAAACCCATTACTTACTTAGGGGCAATGGTGACAGTGTTTCCTTTAGGTAGTGAGAAATCATCAGCATCTCTTCCTACAAGAGTAGCATTGTACACCAAAGTTTTAACACTTGGGTTTTTCAGACGCACCTATGACAACAAGAACAACAAAATCAGCCTATTATTTTCGTTGAATTTTCAGAGCATAAAAGGTACGTTCTGCAGCCAAGTTTCAAAATACAAAATAATGATATCACAGAATAAATACTTCAAATAACTAGACAGACCATTTTTCTTCCTAAAGAGAATAAAATTCCCACAGACTATCCAACCTCAATTTTTCTGAGTACTCTTTTTGCAGTGCACACTGCACTCCTATGCCTGTTAATCTCTTATTCCTCTCTATCTTTGATCTGAGATTTGTCAGATTCATAGAGTTTTTTCTGTTCTCACAAGTATAGGGAAAAAACAGCAGCAGAAGTCAAGATCCCAAGCCTGAAGAGAAAAAAATGAAGATACATTCTTCCATCTTCTGTATTTAGTAACCAAATTATATGAAAGCCATTCATTCTTTGTTGTAGTATATACATAACATATATACATACAGTGTTTTAACCTTGTACTGCTACATATCTAAATTCAATGGTATCAGTACCTGTTTAACAACAGTTGCATGGAGAGCACCTGTAAATTCTATAGTCTTCTTGGGGACGTAGTGAGGAAGAGTTTCATATAGGTAGACACACAGAATAAGCATCATGACTGGGTTTGGATCACAGATGTCAGTGGCCTAATATTGAAAACAAAAAAAGGAACAATAACCAGATATTGGTTAAAAAAAATCCCTATGTAGTTTAGAGGTATGAAAATGAAGAAGAAAGAAGTTCAAGGCAATTCTTATTAAATATTTTCAACCTAAATTTTAATAACTGGACTAGGCTGATAGCTAAAATGAATATGAATCTTGTGAGGGCACAAAAAACCCTAATTCTTGAAGAATGCTGACATGTTCTGGTAATAAACCTAAGCTAAATATTAAAACCACCTTTTTCCCCCATAGTTCAGGAGAAACAGATGTTCAAGTGTAATAGAAAAAGCAAGTAAAATTCACTGACTGGAAAAAACATGTGTCTTTATTATCTTAAAAAAATCCTTTAAAATCTTTCAGTTTACTATGCAAAATAACATCCCAAATACTCCTAGAGTTTTGCAACTGCTTATGAAGACATTGTCACCATCCAAACTAACAACAGGAAATCATGAGTTATTTTTATTGCAGATTCCAAATTGCTTTACAAAAGCTAGTAAGTATTACTGCATCTTAAATATTTAATTTTCAGAAATGAATTTAAATGGCAACTGCAAAACATATCAAAGTTTTAGTTCTCAGCAATTCTGGCGAGTCACTGAAAAGAAGAGGTAGAAACTCCTCCATCAAATACATGAACTTTTCAGATGTCTAATCAACTAGGTAAAAGACCTAATGATGGAATAAATACAGGCAGGAAAGACCTGGCTACAGATTTAAACAAATGATATTCTCTACTTCCTAAATCAAACTAATTAAATTAAGTACTTTAAAACGTCATGCATATTAACTTATAATATGTTATTATAATAAAGTTGTCTATAATACACTAAATAAACTTTTACAACTACATTTGATTTCTCTCCTGAATTAAATATCATCATACTGAAAAAAACACAGACTTGGGAGTAGGCTTAAGGAACAAACCACTGCATTAACATATTATCCCATTAAAAGGTGCTCTTTTCATTCAAGACACTTTATTTGGATCTTGTAAATAACTGAGAGTCATTCAATACAGTAATATTTTGGAAAAGGCCCTGCTTTGCCTAATGCCCTCAAAAGTGAATACCATTCTATGTCCTCTCACCTCACAGGAAAAACTTTGTACAATTCTCAAGTGAAAAAAAACAATCTATTGTGCCTTTCCTGTTTGTCAGTGTCACCTTCTCTAAGAAGCTTGGATGCACTGCACATAACTACATGCAACATTATCCCATCACTCTAGAATCAAGCTTCCTTCTTCCCATGCTTTATCATTAGATCATGAATTTGCAATTGTATGCAACTTTGTATACTCAAAGTATAGACAAATCACATTTTATTTATTTTTAGATTGACTTTTACGTTACTAAGAAGCATCATATATACATAAAGCAAACATCTTTTAGATCTGCAAGGTCATGTGACAGATCAAGAAAACAGGTACAAGATACTTTTAAATCTCAAAACTTTGTTATGAAATAGCTACACTTTTTTTTAACTTGCTAGGAGATAATTCATATTCAAATACATTGACAATAAGGAAAAAATCTTAAATGGCATGTTTTTTGATAGTCTGGAAGAGAGATGAAGAACAACATATAACCAGTTTTATTTAGAACATCAGTTTTATTTATACCAGTTTTATCTAGAAGCAAGTATACTACAGGCAACCTGAATCTCTCTGTCTCATAAGTGCTTACACAGCAGGTATACTGTAGGCAAAAAGGGAAATCAAGAGTTACATGAAATTAGCAATATGTTCTCAATGTTCACTACCATCCTTCCTCCAGAAACTACTGCAAGTAATAAAATGTTAGCCCACATTGAGAGTCAGGACATCACGGCTGAGTCGATAGCAGCACACAGATCTCTCCAGGTGAACAGTGTCATACCAATAACTGCTGCATAAGTATAACTTCCATATGTACAAAAATATCTCTCTCACATCACAAGTACAAATATATTTGCTGATTCAAGACTGGTAGTCTCTTGGTAAACACAACGTACAGCTTCCTTCAAAATAAAAGACCTTTTCTGCACGTATGCACCTCCCCAAAGCAGAGGTTTATAAGGAAGGTCTTGTAACAACATGAAAATCAGCAAGCCTGCAATGTATTAGATATAAAGCAAAGACTGATGGTAGAAGAGTACAGTGATACTGTGAGACTCCTCTTGCAATAACGGCAACTCTAACTGAAGTTGGCCAGATAGCTCCAGCGGTGGTAGTATGGAGTAGAGAGCCCTGGTTATCTTTTTTGGGCAGGTTAAGAAAGCAATAAAAAGAGTAATGGGACAGTTTTGAGGAGGTCAGATTGATAAATAAGCAAATACAGTCCATCAAATAAAGTGTGATGCTAATTCTATATATTGAATGAACAGCCCAGGCTTTTGGCACAACCACTCTTGTGGAATATTTTTAAAACCTTGCTCTTTTCATAAAAAAAAAAAAAAAAAAGTCCATCAAATAAAGTGTGATGCTAATTAAATATATTGAATGAACAGCCCAGGCTTTTGGCACAACCACTCTTGTGGAATATTTTTAAAACCTTGCTCTTTTCATAAAAAAAAAAAAAAAATCACTCCAGATAAAACATCTTGTTTATGGATAAATTTTATTCCCACTGTACCTTTTTAGGACCAAAACCTCTTAAGAGTGAACTATGAGGATAAAGTTGAATCAACTTAATTTTTTTTAATACTTTGTCAGTAAGGTCTCCTTTTAATACTTATTGGCAATACTACTAAAATTTCTAATGGTCTCTCAGAACAAATATTCTTATACATGAATATTTCTTCTATGAACTACATTATACCAGTTTATCACAGGACCACACTTTCAGCCCCCACATTATTTTATTTTTATGACCAACTATATTCTTGTCTTTAACATGATTATAAGATGTTTATAATATTTCTTCTATGAACTACGTTATACCAGTTTTTCACAGGACCACACTTTCAGCCCCCACGTTATTTTATTTTTATGACCAACTATAATCTTGTCTTTAACATGATTATAAGATGTTTATTGCCTAAATGGAGCATTAGAGCAAAAACCCCCATTAAATACTTTTCTAATTGATTCTTATGAGGCAATTTTCATAATGAACTATATATTCTAGAACCTCAATACTCTCCAGCAGATTAATCAAGGGAAAGGATACTATTTCTAAAGCAGCAAGATAAAGGAAACAGAGCAGCTCTTTAGTCAGTCACACACTCTCTGATACAAGTCTATGTAACAATAGCATTTGCTAGTGTTTCACCATAGTATATATCTGTTTCTAGATAAACCAATCCTGTATTTTATTGAACGTGAAAAATTTATTTAGATTATAAACAGAAAATTTAGCAATTTTTAAAACTAATAAAAATTAATCAAAGGAAAGGATACTATTTCTAAAGCAGCAGGATGAAAGAAACAGAGCAGCTATTTAGTCAGTCACACACTCTCTGATATAAGTCTATGTAGCAATAGCATTTGTTTCCTGTATTTTATTGAATGTGAAAAATTTATTTAGATTATAAGAAGAAAATTTAGCAATTTTTAAAACTAATAAAATTATTGTACAGATTATATATTCCTCTTAAGCACTCTACAGTACTTCGTACTCTAATAAAATAAAAATGAAGAATAAAAAGCATTCCTTGATTATTGTTATACTAAACCCTTCTCCATTTCATTCTTTACATACAGAAATAAGCCCGAGTGTCATTAACAGTTTATGAATTCTTTTTAATTAAAAATCGCTTATTGAGTTTTCTTCCTCTTTTGATGTTATTAAAATGCAATATTGGCTGAAATCTATTGTCTAAAACACAGGATCACAAAAAAAGCAGCTGTAATTTAAGCCCTAAAGCAGGAGATCTAGGAAAGCAAAATAGCACATCACTCAGCACTAGTAAAATTAACTCCACCCCCAAACAGCTTCTACTTGATGACTGACAGATCAGCAATTGGCAAAGGTTTTCTTCAGCTAGTGAAAGCTGCTTTTTGACATAATAATTTTGTGAGGAGAGAGGGTATAAAGGGTGAGCATTTTTAATTCTAGTGGAGCCACCTTCTTCCCACAAGCAAGCAAAAAACCTCAGAAGCTTAAAGTAAACATTCAACATAAAAAAACCTTCATACAAAATAAGAATCTAAGACGAGACTATTGGCTCAGACCACAGGCCGAAAGGACACCAGTACAAAAATACTCTCCTTTCAAAGTTGTGTTAAGTATAACCAAGAAAGAAACTGGAAAAAAAGTCAGAGATATAAGATAATTTTCTTCATGAACATACTCTAAATAAATGCAGTAACACCAAGCATTTGAAGTAATGCTCACTTCCATCAGTCTATTGCATTCTAGCCCTACACAAGGTATAATTTTATTTGTCCAAAGATTTGAGAGGAGAATACCGAAAAGTAAATGAAAAGAGCTTAGTATTCTTTTTTCATTTCCTAAAAAGTCATCAAAACAGGGTGCTTATCTCTTTTACTAATAATAATGAACCTGCATTTGACATAGAAGAGAACAAATAAGAAGCTCTTCTGTTGTCACAGATGGGTGAAAAAAATTCCAAATTTCAAACCAGAAAAACTAGAATAAACTGGATTCCAAATTCAGAAATGCAAGGAGTCAAATTAACACAGCATTTCCAGTGCAGGAATAATCTTTCTTTCCCATCCAGTCTTCAAGCTTGTCAGAAGTTTCCTGCTGTGGTTCACTGAAAAGAGAAATTAAAGAATTCTCACAGATTAACCCAGCAGCATTTTTTCTCTGGCTCCCTCAGGCCATGTGGTGCTCTGCTATAATGAGATGCTCTGTGTCTTGTGGGGAGCTGTGGGGAGCTGGAGACCAGCCCTGCTGCAGCATTCCTGGGGCAAGGGCTGATGGTACCAAGGGACTGATATGGGGTCCTAGCTTGCAGGCAAGTAGGGGATCCCTGGGGGGCTGGGCAGGGCTGTGAGTGCCCTGAGGACCTTGACAGTAGTTAAGTCTGAAAAGCATTCAACCTGTATCGTTTGATGACTTTATGATAGACATTTCAGAAAATCATATTTTTATCAAGGCTCCATCTCCTTGGTTGCAAGGAAACCAGAAGGAGCTGTATCCCGGAATAGACTCCTAATGTCTGCTTTAGAAAGAGGAACCTTTCCTTCTCTGTCCCTAAAGCATTATATGGCAGAGTGGGGAGAGAGAAAAAGAAAAAAAAAGAGAGAGAATCTGAGTACTGGAAAAGACGGCAAGGCTTGGCTTATGGACTAAAAGCAGAGAAGGGATGCAGCCCTTTCCCAAAGGATATTATTTAAGGAAAGACTTAGTAACTGAAAGTTTCACAGACTTATTACTGACTACAGCTCAGCTGTAATTAAATTAGATGTCTGAAGTCCTTCATTAATGTGTTCTATGTGCTTTGTATTATAAGGAATAATAATTTTTGTTTTGTTTGGTACAACAGGAAGGAGAAACCTGTCAAGATATATTAGAACTGACAAGTCTTACCACATTTTTACCTATAAACATATTAAATTCATCTTGCATTACATCTTACAACCTAAACCTCTGAGTTTTCTTAATTTCCCTTCTGTCTTTATTAAATTAGAGACAGGTAGTAGATTCCACAGAAAAGGCAGAACTGGAGCTTCCCTGGTGGCAAATCCATTAACTCCATGGAGCGCAAAGGAAGGAAGAGTTATTGACTGCTTCCTCCCTCTTTTCATGCCCTGTGCCCAGCCAAGTGTTGCATCTTACTCCCAGCAGTTCTAGCACAGCTCCTTATCTACCCTTCCAAGAGAGCAAGTACATCACTGAGCACTGATCTGAAGTTTCTCTGTCACTCTCCATAGTTCCCTAGATAATGCTTACCCTCATGATTCTTAAGATTCATTTTATAAACCCTTCAGACACTAATGTAATCATGTCTCATCTTTTATTTCTATTTATTTCCATCACCACTGTTTTTTAAGGCTGCACTTATTATGCAAAGTTAAAGAACCAAAAACTTCTTCCCTGTCAAAAGCTTTAAACCTGAAGTCTGGATTCAGATGTTTTCCATCCACTTATCTCAGTAATTGCTATTGAATGTTAACTACAATAGAAGTTGTTTCACTATAGTAGTGGTTTTACACCACTACTTTTTTTATAAAAATCAGTGCACTTAATAATAACATTCAGCAGAAAATTCTCATAGTCTATATATATTATTTACTTTTAAAAAATCAGTGTTAGCAAACAAGAGCAATTAATAAAGTTTAACAGATTTATGCCTTAAATTGTATCCATAAAAAAGTTTCTCAAAATATGAAAGACCCTCTAACATTTCTTGAAGAGCTGAACACTTACTTGTTAGCTTTTTATTTGTGCTCTAATGTTATCTAGTTTAATAAAATGCTGAAGCTGACAAACAGGATAAATTATTATAATTCAAATTCTAAATATTCCAGGTTGGGACTATATCAGAACTGGACATGAAATTCAAGGGCTAGTAGATTGCCTCTACTCCAAAACCAAATTTATTTAACTGTTATAACACCATCAGCTCTATGCTGTTAATTCCGTAACCAACTCTCCATGTTTTCAGTCACCTGTACATTACTAAAACCTGGTCTTTAATACTGGTGGTGCACTACAGTTTATAACTACTTACAAATAAGGTCCCTTCATTTTAGGAAAATAAGTTTACAAGTTAAAGCAAAAATTATATGGCCTTAACTGCCTCTAATATTTCCATGATATTTAGAAAATGCTGGCAGTTCTGTTTTATTAACATATATTCTGTTTTATTAGCATAGGTGATTTTTTTAGAGTGATACTTTGAAGTGAGTATATGACAAACAAATATTAATCTATCTAGCTGGAAAAGAAAAAGATAAAATAAATCAGGGTGTTTTAAATCAAAAAACAATCACAGTAACTATAAGCCAAAGTTCTCACAGGCAGAAAAAAAGGAGAGAATAACTTCACTAAAAGATATCAGGAAGGAGTAGATCACTGAACCACTTCTTGTGACAATAACATTCTCCATTTTTCTGAACATGTAATTATTACTTGAATAATGTAATATCAATAAATGCAAAAATCATGCAAGAAGGCTTTCCCCACAAAGCCTACAAAGCAATGATGAAAATAGACATCCTACGCCCAAGAACAGCTTCTAGCAGGACACAAATAACTGAAAAATAGAAAATGCTTGGAATCAGCAGCCATGAACTGTTACCTAGGTAACCAATTTAAACCAACAATTGCAAATAACTATTGAAAATTATGGCAAAAATATTAAACAAATAGAAGGTAATAAAAATACTAAATTACATTTCAGAAACAGAAAACCATACATTTAATCTTTATTAGTTATTCCCAGATTTGTAATGCTTAAACATTGAACTTAAAAGATAAACATAAAGGAAACAATGTTTTTTGTGAACAATAGAAGGTTCCTACATCTATAAATTTGGCTTGTGCAAGTGCAGCAGCCAAGTTTTCAATAAGCTGAAAAACAATGTGAGAATAGAACAGTCAGCAAGTCTGGAAAAAAGATCACGTAGTCATTTTGGTGTATAAATAAAGCTTAAAAGTCTACATTTTGTATGCTTGTAATGCATACACAAATAAATGTCCTTTTTAAAAGACTATATCTATGCCAGACATATCCAGTTTCTGTTTAGAAATATCCCAGATGAGACCATTATCAGGTCCAACTAAATTTCAGTTGCTCTGACAGAAATAAAAAGTATCACCGATTTTGAAACATATGTTTCCTTTGCTTTCATTTCCACAACACGCCTATGGGGTACCCAAGGTGAATTTCAAACTAGAGGTGCCTGAACAGATCACTTGTCTGTTGCAATGGCGTATGCTCTTATAGATCACCGGTGAATTACTGAATCATAGAAAAGAATCATGAAATGGTTTGGGTTGGAAGAGACCTTAAACAACATCTAGTTCCAACCCCCCCTGCCATGGACAGGGACACCTCTTATTACACCAGGTTGCTCAAAGCCCCGTCCAGCCTCGTCTTGAACACTTCCAGGGATGGGACATCCACATCTTCTCTGACCAACCTGCTCCAGTGCTTCACCACCCTCACAATAAAGAATTTATTCCTAATATCTAATGTAAATCTCCACTCTTTCAGTTTAAAACCGTTACAACCCATTCTGTCACTACTTTCCCTGATAAAGCGTCCCTCCCCATCTTTCCTGTAGGCCCCTTTTAGGTACTGGAAGGCTGCTATAAGGTCTCCCCAGAGCCTTCTCTTCTCCAGGCTGAACAACCCCAACTCCCTCAGCCTGTCTTCATCGGGGAGGGGCTCCAGCCCTCTGATTATCTTCATAGCCTGACTCTGGACATGTTCCAACATCCTTCTGATGTTGGGGGCCCCAGAGCTGAATGCTGTACCCCAGGTGGGGTCTCATGAGAGTTGAGCAGAGGGGCAGAATTACCTCACTCAACCTGCTGGCCACACTGCTTTTGATGCAGCCCAGGATGCAGCTGGCTTTCTGTGCTGTGAGCACACATTGCTGCCTTTTGTTGAGCTTATCAACCAAAACCCCCAAGTCTTTCTCCTCAAGGCTGTTCTCAATCCATTCTCTATATTGAAGAAGAAACTAACATCAACAACATCATCTTCCTCCCCAAAAAAGGATGTCTGAAGCTGACAGTTTTCAGTGCTCCTCTCGCCAGCAGTCCAAAGCTAATGCCTTCTGTGTGCATCAAACCTGGAACAGATCCTTTGTGGGCCTTTGTGGTTAGATAAATGCATGTAAGTGTCACCAGACATTCACATGATTATTTTTTTACCACTCCTTTTCTATGTTTAAGTGTGTGATGCTAGTTCTTAAATATATTTATATAGTATATATTTTTTCTAGATTGTCTTAGAATAGTAGTAATAAATTCCCCTCAGGTTTTCATTGTGTGATTCGTGATGCTAGAATCTGATCTGAATCAATCTTATATTCAGCTAGTTGTAGATATATGATTCTACAAAGCAAGGAATTATGGAAATCACTTATAATTAAGTGTATTTATATGTTGCAGTATTTGGTTTCCATCATACAGTAGCACATTATGAAACAAAACTGCTTCACTAAAATCTCACCTTAGTTTGATGTAAAATATCACAATCATAAAAGTAAACAGAAAATTTAAAAATATATAAGAACTACTAGTATAAAATAATTTACCTTTACGTCTATAGACAGATTGACAGCACGCATAGCATCCACAAGTATCAAACAGTTGTGCAGAAACTGTTCATGAATTCTTGGCTCAGTATACATCCTTACAAAGTGAGTAGCAATCTAGAGAACACAGAGAAATCGTGCTTGAAACTCTTGACCATCCACTAAGCAAAATTATTATGCTTGTATTTTCACTCTTACAGCAATCCAGATTATCTGAATTTTGAACTAAAATTTCCTATTAAGAATACATCCAGAGAAAAGAAAAATTAATACTGAAATAATCACTCTACACTTGCTAAACATTGAAGTCTTTTTTTCTTTTTAGAAATGACATAACTCAACAGTTCCAAAGGAAAATAAGACCTGAGTAAACCAACTTATATTATTAAACTGTATAAAACTTGCAAAATATTGAGAAAAGTCCTTACCAAATATGGACAGTAAGCCGCCAGCTGTGCTGCCAATACCAGACCATCTAGAAGATCTTGGTCAAAATTTACTATCCATCTCATTGGTGGTACTCCACCTGATTTAAAAACAGAGCAAGATGAATTAAACTCTTCTCCCCTGAGATGCCTAATTAAATTCTGGATAGATATGATGACTACTTGAAATAACTGAGTAGAGGAAAGAACAGAAAAAGGAAACATCCGTTCACATGTAGAATTTCTCAGGCATAACACTCTTCCAGAGCCTTTGCCAAAAACATGAAAAGTCTCACCTAGAATATTGTGACTGTTATTGATACATTCTGATACATCACAACAAAAGGGAAAACATACAAACTGAATTTAACATCACAGATTAGGAACCTAAACATGTAAATCATTTTTAGTTTTATAAGCATAACATTCATAGGACTACAGAAACTCACAAACATATGCAGAAATCTTTTGAAGTTGCAATGTCTAGGCACATAAGAAGGGAAAGATTACTGATTTTCTTTAAGGTCATATTTAATTATTTGGCCCAAATGCAATATAAATGAAAACTAACAGCTCAATTGCTGCAGCATGGATTAGTACTTCTACAACTGTGTTGTAAAGGCCTATGCCTCACAAGGTGAGACTATCTTTTATCATTCTATGGTTTTTATTTAAAATAAAACTGATTATTAAGAAACTAAACATAGTTTATTTATTAGTATTTCTTATTTAAAGAATTCCACATCTTAAATATTTAACACAGCATTTAAACAGACTTCTAAGCATAATAAACCATAGAAAGAATACAGTCATTTGAAAACTCTCAACCTGAGATAAACTTTAAAAAAAAGTTACTGACATACCAATAACTAAATGTTTCACTGTTTATACCCAATTACCAGTACTTTTTTCTCCAGATAATAAACATTTTGTGAAGCTAGAAGCTGATCCTTTCTTAAGGAGAGCAATCTGGTCACAAATATTGAAATACTAAGTCAGTCATGCATTCTCTGTTGTGTCATTTGCAGTTTCTTCCAACTTCTTTGGCAAAAATACCTATTGCTTAATTTTCTTTGTCTTTGTTACTATCTCAGGTCCAAGCTCTCAAATTTAGGGAACACTTTGGACTTCAGTCACTGGCAACGTTTTCAGATAGACTGGGATCATGTTTTCTCTTATAGGACATTTTATACAGCTTTTATTTCACTAAATATCCAGAAAGTGTTGTTTACCAAGTTTGAAGCTTCCTAAGTTGAAAAAAAAAACTGCAGAATTTGAGATGATCAAAAATCCCATACATATTATAAACATATAAATGTCTTATTATAATATAAATAATTTTTTATTCTTTCAAAAATACTACCATTAAAGGATTAAAAAAATTCCTAACAGAAGTTTTATGGCAGTAATATAACCTATAACCATGTTCTGAACAATTAACTATCTCCATTAACAAAAGAAGAATTTGGAGACACCAATATTTGACACAGAAATAATTTAAAAATTCAGAAGCAATAAATGTTTCACTAGGTGACACATTCTAGACCAAACAAATGGAAGCAGGGGCACAAGTTGTGTATATTTGAAAGGTCTCTACAGAAAGAATACTATAAATTAAATTAAATTTCAAGAAAAGGATAGATTCTCTATGTGCTTAGAATAATATGGTCTCATTTAGTGGTCAAGAATGATGAATCACAAATTATATGACACTGCTGTAGATGTAACACTTCAATCAGTCTTACTAAGGGTTTTAAATTTGAGACAGTATTTTAGGGTATGTTATATATCCCATGCACAACAACTATCAAAGCCACATGGACTAAGAAAGAAGATAGATGTATATTAAAAATTATTAAATATATTAAGGCAATTTTATTCACTCCTAAGTACCTTCAGACATCAGCCATGCTGATCTAACCAGGCAAGTTATTGTCCAAAAGCCAGACCACAAATCCAAAAAACATTCAAACTGGAAAAAGAAAAAAATTCCTGATCTTAAACTGAAACTGTGTTAACTACTCCATGTAGTGTTGAAGAAACTATGGACCTTCAAAACGGTTTTCTTTTACTAGCACTTAATTTACTTGAGTTTATATCTCCTCAATTACCTTTATCCACCTGCTTTTGTTTGATATTAAGAGTGATTTCAAAATTGTAACCATCAAGAGGGAAAAAGTATCTAGAGATGCTGCTGCTAAAGTCAGATCATAATTTATCAACACCAGCTCAAGTAACATCAATCAGTCCCCCAAGAGGTACAGCTAAATTAAATTTACAAATAAGCAGCTATTATCAGCTACAAGTATAAATCTGGTTGTAGAACTCCTCATTTATACCAAACAGATTAGTTGTAACTTATAAAATATTTCCACATTGCTGCAAATATTATGCTTCAGCTTAAATTTAAAAGATAAACTACTTAAGAGCCAAATAGAAGAAATAAAACAACCATGGGGCAAATTGTTAAATAGGAAGTGCGTTCAGATGGAATCCTATGTTAAAGCAAAATAAATACATCACAATCTCAAATAAAAATTAATTTCAGGAAAGGCTAATTTTTAAGTACTTGCTTTTATAAAATAAGCTAGCTAACGCAGATAAGAATTTTATCAAACTGTGCCTTTATATCTCATAGAAGAGTGAAATTCTTACAGAATTTTCAAAGATTGTTTATGAATATCCAGAAGTAAAATTTTGACGTGCATATGTTTTGCACCAGGGGGTGCTGGTTCATTGTGATCCCACTAAGACACTAGGACTACATAAAGTATCACTGCCACTTACTGGAACTAATGCTATAGGGAAAAAGAGATTTATCTTGTAGCCAAGAGATACAACAGCACAGGCCTCCACCTAGTCAAGTTAACTGTTACGTGTGTCACTTAGCTCCTTTAGATACAATGATCCTCCAGCTAGCAGCCCTACAACATACTACTGGTTTGGTATATTTATTCTATTTTGGAGAGAAACTCCCCAAAACAATTTAATCAAAAAGTATTTTTTAAAAAGTACCCTTTCCAGAAAATATCAAAAAACAAAAGTATTTTTCATTACCAATACTTTGTAAGGAAGTACCTAGTACAGCTTCAGGATTATCTTTTGCTGATTTTGAAAGGGAAAAAAAACTATGGAGGAATCAAGTCTTCCCTTAGTGATCCAAAACTGCATTTGAAGTACAGGTCAAAAAGAATTATTTAGAAGACAATTCTGTGTAAGACCTCTTATGACACATCAAGAAGCAGTCATTAAACAACAAAACATACTCTGTAGGAAAAGATCGTTCTTTTTGGCACAAGCACCAAATAAAAAGCCTCAGAAGGATTCGGTGTGCTATCAAGAATGATACTACATGTCTAAATCAACCTTAAAATCTGCTGCTTTTAGAAGCAATCAGTTCAGATTTCTAATTTCATGCTCGTGTACAATGATGTGGGAATAAAGGTGGGTTTTGGTCTAACTTACAAAGCACTAGAGATTTACCATTACTCCTACAAAATAATTACAAGCAGGGTGGTAGAGATTATTTCTCTAACTGCTACAATAAATACAATGCTGCAGTCAAAAAAAAAGCATAAAAAAATCACTAAGAAAGTCATTAGAATATTAATAACTAATTAAACTTTAAAAAAATTAATTCAACCTACAACAAACTCCTGTACCATACTTTAAGCAAAATGTGTCTTTCATGATTCTTTTGTTCATTTATAGAATACAGATGACTCAGCATGTCTATCACTTCACATCAACTATTTGAAGATACTTCAGCATATTCAAACAGCTCTAGTAAGAAAGAATAGGAGCAGATGCTGCACAATCTACCAATAAAGGTATTTAAATTCATCTGAGCTTAACTCTCTGACATTTCTAATGATTTTAGTTTGCCAGTTCTTCAGCATGGTGATGTTTAGGCTTGCTCCAAAATCCCTCATTTTTTCCTATTCATGCTGCAATGTGACTTCAAACATTATTTCAAATGAAAAAAAAAAAAAAATATCAGCAGGTCAATGAGTTTGAAAACCAATGGCTTCTGCTGCCCACACCTCTGTCTGCAATCCTCTGCCTCATCACACGATTCAGTCTCATCCTGCTATCTGTTTATACATCCAACTGCATTCAACAAGACGGCTTTCACAACTGTCAGATCTTGGATCTAAACAGGAGTAACTTTCTTCCTCTTCTCTTCCCCTCAAAATCCATTCATCATATCAGAAAATAGATGGAAATCTTACTGTTAGTGAATTGTTATATAAAATATTAATATAATTAATATATTATAGAACACAACTACACTGTTCTTAAACCATTTCCTTTCTTCTGGAAGGCCCTAAAGTGTTATTTTTTTCCCCTTTCATTATTAAAAAATAATACCTAATGGTTTAAATAAAAGAACTGGCTTAAAAAGGCAGACAAATTCTATCTTCCCTTTCATAAAAAACAGCAAGCTTCTTCTAGAACTTTCTAAAAAAAAAAGTTATTTCTAATTATTATCTAAAAATCTCCTTTAATGTAATTTAGACTTGAACTGATGTTTCATTGTCATTATTTCATTAATATGAACAGAAAGAAAACTAAATCAATCTACATGTTATTCTAAACATTCATTAAATGTATGTTCAGTTAAAAGAATATCAAAAAACAGTATTTAAAGATTATTAGATTTAAAAATTGTGTAATTTTTCAAATACAATTAAAACATTCACTTATAAATTTATAAAGAAAAAAATGCAATGTGTCAGAATTCATTTTTTTCCTATTGTTCAATTGAAACAACTTTTTTTCAAACAGAAAACTCAAAGTTTAAGTGTCCTTGGTAATTCTCAGGGGCAAGGTACCAAAGATGAAGTCTGACTGGATATATAACATGTCCCTGTTACCTATGACAGGAACAGAACACAGTAAATATTGGCCTCAATATCTAAATTGGGATGGTATTTTAAATAAATTCAGATCTCCCTTTTACAAACATCTACAGTAGGAGACGTTCATTTCATCCCAACTCCTTGGTAAATTGCTTGTAGTTATTTCAAAAATATTTAATATAGTCAATGCAAAACTAAATACTTAAAAATAGCAAAATACATTTTGAAAAGCTTACTTT